GTCCACTGCTGGCCTCAGTCCTTCAGATGATAAAATTGCTCAATAATCTAACTTATGTGGTTTGGAAACTAAGGTTTAAAACCAGAAGTCACCTACTCATATTTGAATACCATATTTTTCAACAATGTATAACATTTTTTAAACCTTATTAAAAGTACTAACAATTGGTCTAAGTGTTTAAAGAGATTGTTTTGTTTAACCCTCAAAACAAACCTAGAAGGCTCTTATTATTTCCATTTTTCAGATGAAGAAAAAAGTCCAAAGTGCTATGATGGTAATAGATGTCTCCTGCCTGCCTGTTGAAGGGCAGAACAGAACTGCAGCACCGCTGTGGCCCTGCATGGCCCATTTCTAACTCCTATGCTACCCTGACTCAAACCATACACAGGTGGGCATTTCTCCAGACTACAAAGCTGAAACTTCTAAGGCATCAGATGTGTTATGTAAGCCAGGCACTGGTGGCTCATGCCTATAATTTAACTACTCAGGAGGCAGAGACCTGAGGATTGTGGCTCAAAGCCATCCTGGGTAGAAAAGTCCAGGAGACTCTTATCTCCAATTAACCAGCAAAAAGCCGCAAGGGTCAAATGGTAGAGGGCTAACTTTTATCAGAAAAGCTTAGGGACAACACCTAGGTTTTAAGTTAGAGCCCCAGAAATGACTTACAAAAAAAGGTGGGGGGGCATATGTAGGGGCGGAAAGGTTTTCTGGCAGTGACTACACAGATGAAAACAAATGCTAGGCCCTATTTCTGGAAGACAGGTAAAACCTCTCAGGGCTGTCAGATGGCCCCTGGCATGTCGTTCCGTACAGAAGGGCACGGAGCATAACGGAATGAAAGGACACGTGTTAATATTCAGTCCGTGGCCCCAGGAGTTGACTTTTCCAAGCCTCCACCTGTCCAGGCATTCTTGATTTGGGCATGTTACAAATCTTTCCTTAACTAGAAACATTCCTAAGCAGTTTGCTTCAACATAACATATGTTCATCATTCTCGGCTTTTCCTAGACAGACATGGGATCTATTCTGCTCCCCTGGGTAGACTATATAATCTGACGTGACAAAAAGAACAAGCCTAGTAGTCTCCATTACGTCCACTTGGTTAGAATGCAGTCATTATCAACTTAAGAAATACTGCATCTTCTCAGCAATTGCTACAAAATGGGAAAACAGTGTTGGAGCTTAAAGAGTTTCAAATGAGAAGTTTTTCTTTTCCTGTACAATATTCAGAATAAAGGCTAAACACGATTACAAATCAGTGGACCTAATGTCACTGAGCAAATGTGGATAAAATGAAAACAAAGTGGGGAGGGAAGGGATGGTAGGGGAAAAACAAAGGAGGGGGTAACAATGCTCAATAGGAAATGTACTCATTACTTTACTCGTGTAACTGTAACTCCTCTGTACTGTATCTTTACAATAAAATTATATATTGAAAAATAAAAACAAAGTTTTTAACCATCATTAAAATGCAAACATGAGAAAGCACAAAACTGAAATGCAATGCCAAGAGGACAAATGAAAATAATTTGCACAGTTCAACTACCAACTGAAGAGGGAAAGCAAATCCATTGAAACCAAGTGACAAGGCTGCCCCTGTGTGCATGGGGATAGTTCTCACTTGAATTAGGACCAACAGTAATAGTAAAAAGCACAGCGCCTTTGTTAATCAGTGGGACCAGCAGCATGGCATTGTGGGAAACTCTGGCCCCTTATCTCAGGTGTATCAGTTCAGGAACTACACGTTAACAAGACCCCTGTGATGGAATGCAAGTTCAAGTCTGAGAAGCCCTGTACTAGGGGCTGAAGGTCAAGAGAAGGGCCAGAGCTTCTCTTTCTGCTCATTCATTAAGACTATCTGATACTACAAAAAAAAAAGTATAAATACTCTCTCCTTTCTGAGGACAGAGCAAGTAATTCCATCAAGCATGATCCCCCCCCCACAAGTGTCTGGGGGAATGCACCCAGGAGAGGTGTAGAAAATGTGAGCAGACTGCAGAGAGCAAGACCAAGGAAAGCAGTCGGGGGTCCTTTAAATCACCAGCAAACTATAAAGACAAAGGTGGTAAAACAAGAATGATGTGGAATGAATGAAGACCAAGTAGAGAATGAATACTACAGAGGAGAGAGGAGAGCCTAGAAAACTTGCTAAACCCACCTGGAAGCTTCTATGGAAATATATGACTCAGGGCATCATTTAGTGAACAACTGATGCATTAGGTAGAAACAAATCTACACTTTTACAAAATAAATATGTGGTATTTGTTAAGAAAATGAATGGATGGATCCTAAACCAAAAAGAAAAAAACAGAAAACAAAAGCAGGTCTAATAGGGCAAGCTAGCGTTGCCTTGTTTTAGAAGAAGAAGCTGTATTCTACAATGAGATGAGAAAGAAGGTTCTAGTCTCTAAGGCCCTACAGCTGACTCAGCTCTATAGCTTAGCAGCTGTGAGGTTTTGGACAACTTGCATATCTCTCCTTCAGTTTTCCTGTGAGTAAAATGTATATATAAGGTATTTATCAGAGTTGCAGTGAAGAGTGAAGGGAACAATAAGTAGTCTTCAGCCATTGTTACTATGTGTACAGCTGGACATGGTGGAACTAGTTTTCCAGGCACAAAGGAGAGCTCAGCATACGTGGATGAGGAGATACAGACTCTTTTAAGAAAGGAAAATTTGAATTTCCTTGAAGTATGCAAATATGTATTTATAAGCAAGGCATAAAATTAATATCTGATGAGGCAAACGATTCCTTCAGTGCCAGCGGATGTGAGACAGTGAATTGCTTCCCATGAGTCACCACCACCTGCTTCAGATTTTCAAAGGCCTTTCCCTTATAAAGATGGGGAGAGTCCCTACCTTCCCATTTATTCTGTAACTGTCATGTTGAGTTTATAAAGGAACAATTAGTAATAAACACCACATTCCTTTATTCTAAATTCCCAATGTCTTTGGCCTAGATCCTGGAAGCTGACATAGCCACATGTTTGTTTGTTTCATGCTATTACTGGGGCTTGAATTCAGGGCACAGGCTTTTTCTCTCAAAGCCAGTGCTGTACCATTTGAGGCACAGCTCCATTGCTGACTTTCTTGGGGAGATAAAAGTCTCATGGCCCTTCCTGTGTGGGCTGGCTTCTGATTGTAATTCTCAGATCTCAGCCTCTGGAGTGGGTAGAATTTTGGGCATGAGTCACTGTCACCCAGACACCCATCACATTTTTAAAGTTCAATAAGAGTGATTGAGGTTGTGAATGGTCATGTCCATGAAAGCAGGACTCCATAGAGTCTAGAAGGTTGATGTGAGTTAAGCCAACCAGTGCTGTGGTAATACCATATGCAAGCACTAACCACTTCAAAACACTTTTGTTAACTGGCTCTCCAGCTTGAAGTCCCTGAGAAATCTGTTGTAATACTTCATCACACTGAAGGTCTAAATGTCACAGAAAGCTTACAACACGGGTGCCGCCTGAAAGCAAGCTCAACAAAATTTTCACTGCCTTAAAAAACAGTTGTTTCTTTTACTTATTCATCCTGACATAGTCCACAAATCTCAGTGTTAACTAGTTCCCTTTCTAACAGCAGTTCTATCAATATCCCACAACCATTCATTAGAACCATCTTAAAAGTCTCTAGAAGCTGGGTGGCATATGCTTGCAATCTTAGCTACTCAAAGGCTGAGATCTGTAGGTTGTTGCTCGAAGCCAGCCTAGGCAGGGAAGTCTGTGAGATTCTTCTTTTCTTTTTTTTTTTAGTTTCAAGTATAATTTATTTATTTTATTTATCTGTGGCATATTCTTAAATAAGACTTTAATATCAATCCGGATATGAGTAGAATAGCGACTTTGATACTTTAATTTTTACATTATTTTTACCATCTGTAAGTAGATGTATGGAGGAATTGCTATTCACCAAAGTAGTTTATAAATACAGCACATCTTGATCAACACCGCCCCTGTCAAGATGCTTACCCACCCCTCCCAACCCACCTCCCATTCCTCTCATTTTAAAACTTCTAGGCTATGTATTCAGTTTTTTGCCATCTAACGAAACAGTTTATATAGACACTGCATCTTGATATGTGCCTTCACTTCAGCATCTTTGCCCTCCTTTCAACCTACCCATTCCCTCATGCTTCTCAATTCTGTGGTTTCTAAAATCAATAGTAAAGGGAAAAATGCAATAACAAAATGGTGAGACGAAGGACAAGAGGAGAAACAAATACAACCGTGATACTCACAAGAGCATATACTAGAAATAATCTGTACAAGTTGGGGGGATGGAGGGAGGGAAAGTAGGAGAAAAATGAGGGAGGGGGTAAAAAGTTCAACAAGAAATTTATTATTACCTTATTTATGTAACTGTATTTCATCTTGACAATAAAAAGTAAATAATAAATTTTTAAAATGAAAAAAAATGAACTGTGTAATGAGGAACACTGGGCTCTGTGAGACTATCTCCAATTAACCAGCAAAAGCTGGAAAAGGAGGTGTGGCAAGTGGTAAAGTGCTAGCCTTCAACTTGGGCTATGAATGCAAGGCCCACTACCAGCACAGACCCACAAAAGTCTCTAAAGGATGTATATGTCCAGATGATTTCCGATTTCACTCTGGAGACAAAGCAGAGTATTCAAGATGAGGAAATTTTTAGTTTGAAAATTCAACTACAATGTAAAATTTTACTGTATCACTTATTTCCTCAAAATCACAAACATGCTGGGTGCCAGTGGCTCACGCCTCTAATCCTAGCTACTCAGGAGGCTGAGATCTGAGGATCGAGGTTCAAAGCCAGCCTGGGCAGGAAAGTCTGTGAGACTCTTATCTCCAATAAACCACTTAGAAAACTGGAGGTGGTGCTGTAGCTCAAGTGGTAGAGCATTGGTCTTGAGTTGAAGAGCTGAGAGACAGCACTCAGGCCCAGATTTCAAGCCCCATGACAGACAAACACAAACACACACACACACACACACACACACACACACACACACAAACATTACATACTTACCAACCAAGACAACAAGCCTGTATTTGTCATTCATCTGTCGCTGATATGGTGTGACTTCTTCATATGTAGGCACATCAGCTGTATCATACTGATCGCTCTTCTTGCACTCATACATGGATTTATTTGTTTTCTTATCTTTTCTGCTAAGACGGAAACTTCTTCTAAAGCCAGCTGCAAATAAACAATACATATACTTTAGTAATAACTAAATATTAAAACCCCTAAGAGAGCCTTTAAGGCTGGGATAGGGATGTAGCTCAAGGCTAGAGTGAGTGTCTAGCATGTGCAAGGACTTAGGTTCCATCTCCAGTACCACAAAAAAACATAAAGCAAACCAAAGAGAGCCTTCAAATTTGGATTGTATTCTTCACAATTGATACAAGTAGCATTAGTAAAAGGGGGAAAATGCACACAATTTCATATAAACAGTAATTTATAGAGAACTACCTAACATTTATTTATGTACACAGTTACAATTTAACCTTGAATTTGGTTCTAAAATTAATGAGTTCTTGGAAATTGTTGGGTAGAATAACTATAAAAGAAAGCCAAGGGCTGGGAAGGTGGCTCAGTGGTAGAGCATTTGCCTTGCATGCATGAGGCCCTGGGTTCGATTCCTCAGCACCACATAAGCAAAAAGAAAAAAGCCGGAAGTGGTGCTGTGACTCAAGTGGTAGAGCGCTAGCCTTGAGCTGAAGAGCTGAGGGACAGCGCCCAGGCCCAGAGTTCAGGTCCCACGACCAGACCCCCCCCCAAAAAAAGAAAGCCGAGAAATCACGAAGTGGAGTAATGGTGTGGATTCTAAATTCAAGTGCAAGGAGTGCATCCACTTGCAAAGGGGCTAAGCAGGTGTTGCAGATTTTTCTGTGCATCCTTTTGGTGCATGCCTTCATAGCCACACCTCTGGAGGAGATGCTCATAACTCACCCCTAGCGCAGTAATTCTCAGACAAAGGTCTCTTCTTAATTTGCAGAACCAAGTTCCCATCTCACCTCTTTCTCAACCCTGTCTAACTGGATTTCTGACTTAGCACACAAATGACACACTCACTACAATTACAAGAGAAGTTCATGCTGGGTTCCATAGTGTTCTAATTTCAGGTTCCCATGGCTTTCATATCTTGGGATGTAATTAGAGGATAAACAGGTACAACTAGAAATTCCTTCCCAATTATTCCTTATAGGGAGGAAGGATTTTCCTTAAGCCACCACAGCCTTTGGGTACAGGAATGGGTACAACAAAAACATAAATGTAACCCAAAGCAAATGTAACCCAAACAGAAAATATGAAAAATTTCTGATTAGTACATCACAACTAAATGTTGAATTTTACAAGTAAACCTTAAGTGTTTATCTGAAGAGTTCTTACAATTCACCAAAGTTTTTTCTTTCACTACAGACAGTGGGAAATGAAGTCATTAGATTTCTAATGTGAAAAGACCATACAGAGTTCAGAGGACGGCGGAGTGAAACTACTTGTGTAGTGCTTGATGCTGAATAGGTTTGATAAATTTACCAAATTTAAGTGGGTGCTGGTAGTTTACACCTGGAATCCTAGGTATTCATTAGACTGAGATCTGAGGAACACAGTCCAAAGGTAACCCAGGCAGACAAATCTGAGAGACTCTTATCTCCAGTTTCCCAGCCAAAAAGGTGGAAGTGAAAGTAGAAATGTGATCATGTGGTGGAGCACCAGCCTTGAGTGAAAAAGGTAAGTGGAACTCAAGCCCCCATACTGGCACACACACATAGAAAAGAAAAGTTTACCAAATTTAATTTTAAAGGATTCAACAGAAAAATCTACTACTATATCTGTGTCACCTTTTTTCTAGGAATGTGTTTTTGTTAACAAGAAAGATTAAAGGGTATCCTTCCCTTCCCTCTTTCTCAATCTTTTCCTCCATATACATGGGTTCTGTGTTTATATACCACACCTTATATATGCATGCACATATATACACACAGCTCTATGCATACAATCACACAGACACACACACACACACACATATGCACACACACAGCACAGGAAAAAAAGAAAAGCAATACCATGACAAAAATGAAGGATATAACAAAAGATATGAAATCCAGACTCTTTCTTTGTGGTTATTTTTCAGACAAAACCAAAATGACAGGGGCTAGGAAAGTGGCTCAGTGGTAGAGTACTTGTCTTGCATGCAGGAGGCCCTGGGTTTGATTCCTCAGCACCACATAAGCAGAAAAAAAAAAAGCCAGAAATGGTGCTGTGGCTCAAGTGGTAGAG